CAACCCAGACCTCAAAATGCTCTGGAGGTTCTACCGGCTGATCTGTTTGACAAGAAGAACCACCTCTGAGAAGGATCACCCAGCTTCTAAGCGGTAGGGCAGGAATCTGAGCTCAGATTTGTCTGAACTCATACCTCTAACCTTTCCCTGAGCAGGAGAGATGACACCCTAAAAATGGACAGACAGATGGGGGCGGTGGCATGGGGGTGGTTAGCCAGAGCTTGGCTCTCCTGCTTTGGAATCACAGGGCACATCCATGCCCACTCCCTCATCATCTGTCACATCCTGCCCCTCACAGAAAGGTAAGGAGTTTCTCCAAGGCCACACAGCAGCTGAAGTAAACAGTGGCCCTCAAAAGGGCAGATGCTTCAAATAAGACCTCTGCCCCCACCCTGCCTCTTCCTCAAATGCTTCTTGATTTTCATGGCCCTCCCCTCCAGGAAGCCTTCCTGGTTGCTCCGGCCTACGGCCTACGCAGAGCCCCAGCCTCTGAACAACCACCAGCCCTGCCAGGAAGTCAGAACCACAGACCTCCCCTAATTTACTCCTCTCTGAATCTGTCTCCCTATTGGCCGACACTGGCCCGCAGGGGAGCCCTTAGGGTGCTCCTTTCTTCTCCCCTCCAGTTTCCCAGCAGGTAGGCCAGCACAGGTCAAAGATGCCTGGGCCTGGGTGAGGACCAGGTGCTGGGCAGGGCAGGGCTGAGCAGCAGCAAGCATCAGATGACACCCAGGTTTTCACCCACCCACAGGCTTTCAATTGTGTGAAGAGAGGATGGGGGGGGGGGCAGTACCAGCAGCCTCTCGCTTGTTCCTTTAACTCTGGGCCCAGACCACAGAAGTGGGGGTGAGGCGGAGGGAAGCTGCGGTTGGAGCTCAGCCCCACTGAGGCGCACAGCTCGTGCGCGATGAGAAGCCACCCTGCTCCACGGCACCTCAGAACCAGGAAGAGAAACTGCGCAGCAGAAAGGGCGAGCCAGGCTGCGTGGGGCCCTGCCATGGGGTGCTCCCGGATGGTCACCTGACAACCCTCTTCTCCCTTCCCAGCCTCAGTGTCCCCACAGGGAAACAGGGCTGTCTTCCTGTCCTGCCAGTCTGCCCTGGTGGTGCCGTCTGCATCCGGGCAAGAGGAGACCCGTCCCCAAGAGTGGGGTGCGCCTGACTCCCCAGTGGGTTTCGGCGTCTTGTGCGAAGCAGGGGCCACTGCCCAGCTGGCCTCACGCTGCTGGCGTCTCCCGTCAGCCACACGGGGAGCACACCAGCTCTGCCTTCAGCTCTTTATTTTTAGGTCTGAATTTGACTTTAATCATTACTTAGCGGATTCTATTTCCAGCTCGCGGATGAAGGGGCCCAGAGGAGAGGAAGAAGGGAGGCAGTGCTCCCCCTTGGTGTGGGGGTGTCCCGGCTCCTCCACCCATCCTGTCCCCAACCAAGGAAGGGGGGACTAAGAAACACCCAAAGGGCTCGCCTCAGCCAGGCCGGCATCGGGGAGGGGACGTCATCCCGTGACCTCGTCGCAGGAGGGCAGCTGGCACACCCACGTCCCCCACAGCAGGACCGGGGAGGGGGACCAGGCCCAAATGCAGCAGCCAGAGTCCCAGGTCACACATCTGGGCATCTGGGGGGACTCTGCAGCGAATGGGCCACACCAGGGAGGATCCCCTGCCTAGGTTAGCTCTGAGTCACCTAGGGCAGGGAGGGCTATGGTCTCTTAGGCCCATAGGTGCCTCCAGCTGCACCTGGAGTGGCCCCCGGAGGGTACTCCCAGGTACGCTGGCCTCCACAGCAGCCAGACAAGAGGAAGCAAGGGGTACACTCTCAGGTCAGCAGGTCAGGCCCAGGGATCACCGCACAGGAGCACTGACACACAAGCCCGTTACCGGTGGCCCATGTGCCGAGTCTCCAGAATCACCTTCCCCCATACCCCCTCCCCCAGCTTCCTTTCCTCCCTCAGTCACCGGGGAAAGAGCGGGAAGATGAGGCTGGCATGTGCCCACGAATGGGGGCTCAGGATGCCTGGGTTCTTTGCTCAAGTCTGTTTCCGCAGGAGGGCTAAGAAGGCCTCCATCGGGGGCTGGCTGAGGAAGGAGCCAAAGATGGGGGCCAGGAGGCCGTCAGGCTCTCTTGTCCACTCAGCTCTGACGCTGGAGCACAGAAGCGGGGGTGAATAGGGCCTGGCCCCAGAAACCAATCAGTCAGCCCCTCTTCCCAGAACCACAGCCAGGTCGCGAACCAGGCCACCACATGTGATGGGGAGGGGGGCAGTACTGGCCAATCTCAGCCACAGGTCTTCCAGAAGGGCTCCCCAGAGACCAGCCCTGTGCTGGCGGGGTGGCCAAGCATGCTCCCCACACGTTTGGTTAGCCAGCGGTGGGCACTCCATGAACAATGCCATCTCCTCCTCCTCCTCAAGTACCAACGAGAGGCCAGGGGCTGTGCCAGGCACTTTCTGGTCCTTTGGTTAATTATTCACACTCCCCTCAGAAGCAGGTGTCTCTGTCCCTGTCGCGCACGTAAACTCTGGCTCAGAGGGACCCCCTCGCTGGTCTATACGGCATGGCTACACCTGAAGCTGGCTGCCCTCTCCAACACCCCTGGCTGGGGGCCTGCAGTGACAGTGATCACGACAGCAGCAGATGGAGAGCAATGCGCATGCTTGCTAAGCGGTCTGGGTGGGGTCGCGCGGGGCAGGGATATTTGGAATATTTTGTAGCTTTTCAGAGGCAAAGTCACACAGGCTGCATGCGTGGCAGCACAAGATGCCCTCAGACGCAGCTGTGATGGAAAGAGGTGTCGATAGCAAACGAACAGTGACGACGTAGGGAAACACACTGGAAGAGACGGGCCAGGAGTTCCAAAAATCTTAACGTCACTGCGCGGGTGAAGAAACAGTGGGTCACTCTTGCCTTGTTTTGCCTGTTTCTAAATGAAGTAGACAACACATGCGGAGTTTTCTCACAACGAGCTCAGATTTGCTTCTCTGTGACCCGTCTGCCCCTCGGCCCTGGCCCTGTAGTCAGGAACATGCAGCTGGGACCGTGGGGTGGCCCTTCCCAGCTGGCACAGCCCTCCAGACGCACAACGGTTTTACTTTACCTTCTCCTTCCCAGATCAAACTCCTCTGTTCTTTGGGGACAAAATCCCTCAGAAGATGGAGGACCCAGGCTGTCCTGCCCAATCAGGCCACTGGCCAGCTTACTGGGGCAGCCACGTCAGGCTGGATGCTGGGCTTCCGCCCCTGCCTGCGTTGTTGGCTCCAACACTGCTGTGCTGCTCTGCAGGGGCTCCACCTCTTAGGACCTGGGAACCCCCTTGCAGGGGTGCTGGAGATCACCTTCTAGCCCCCCTCACCCAAACCCAATGCAGAGCGAGGAGCAGCTACTAATGAGAGGAAGGCATCCGGCTCACCGGGTATGAACATGTCCCCACACACGTATGAGCCCAAAGCCAGATCCCTTTCCACAGAGGCCTCAGACCCCAGGCCGCACCGTTACAACTCTCTGTTGGTATAAAGCACCCAATCGTGGCAGGCTTCAGCCCAGCCCCTCAGGTTGGCAAGGCCCTTTGCCGGTGAATGGGGCTGAAGAGGGGAGCCTCGCAGGCCTACCACATCTGTGGTATGTCATGTCATGTCAACGGTGCATGTCAGGACAAACCGGAAAGCACTAAGTTAAGGGCAGAGGCCTGTGCAGTACAAAACTGCCAGCTGCCCCAAGGGGGCCCAGACCCAGCTCAGCATCCTCCAGGGAACCTCTCACCCTTCTGGAGCATTCTGCCACACTCCCAACCTCCCCGCTGCAGCCTTGACTCTACTCCTGCCAAAGCCCCGCCAAAAGAGACACTGGGAACTCCGGGGTGCAGGGAGTTTGGAAAAGGCCCTCTGGGTTTCCCTGTTCTGAAAGAGCTCCTCTGTCACTGCTGTAGGGTTCTCCCTGGGGAAGGAGGGCTATCCCCTTCCCCATCCCGATCCCACTCATGTTCTGAACCTGGCGGCTTCTAGACGGACCAAAGGTACGGAGGGCTGGTTCAGGACTGCCCACCAGGGCTGCTTCACCTCACAGTCAGGGCCACACTACAGTGGGCCCCAATGCCACCACTTCCCCTGCAGGGGCACCCGGCTTCAGCCACCAGGAGAAATTCCACGGGCACTGTCAATGCTGCCAGACCCAGGCAGAAGGGGACCGGAAGCGTTCGTCCTCCTCTCCAGGGGAGCACATGCTCAGTCTACAGGTTCCTCAGGCCAGGCTGGGGGCCCTCATCCCTGGGAGGGGGGGGTGGGGTGAAGGTGCAGCCCGGTCTCTCTACCCACAGTAGCCCGGCTCCGCAGGGCTGGGCATGAAAGGACACACAGACCAACCACGCCAGCTGCTGGGGGAGCAACTTCCCCCTCTGAGCCTCAGTTCCCTGGTCTGAGGGCAGGCGGTGAAGCCCTCCTAAGCTCCAAGGATCTGGTGGCTGGACACGCCCCTTCCTGACACCAGGTCTGGGACCCGCGGAGCCTGGGAGAACAGTCTGCCAGGAGGTGGGGACACGGCGCGAATGCCCAGTGCCACCTCCACCCAGGGCAGAGGCCCTACCCAGTGTCCCCACCCATGGGTCAGAGGTCCCTCGGCTCGGTCCTGGGAGGCCTAAGGTGACGGGCTCAGCCTCCAGCAGACTCAAAGAAGGTAGCGGGGTCCGGGGGTGCCCGGTGGGGCGCGAGGCAGGCTGGGGGGCCTGCCGGGCCCTGGGCGGGGAAGGGAAGTTCTGCAGGCCCGGTCCACGCCGCCCTCCGCCCCGGGGCTCGGGCCGGGCCCGCAGGGAGGCCGGGGCGGGCGGGCAGGCTCGGGCGCGCGGGGCAGGTGCGCGGGGCCGGCGTGCGGGGCCGGCCACTCCCTCGCCGCCCTCCCCGACGGCCGGCGGGGCTCCCCGGGGCCGGCCGGGAGGAGGGGTCCGGGGGGCTGGGGCGCGAGGCTGCGGGCTGCGGGGCCCGGGCGCGCCCCGCTGGCCCCCGGCACTCACCTGGCGCGGGGCGCTGCGGGCCTGGCCCCCGGGCTGCGGGCAGCATCCGCGGCGGGCGGGAGGTCATGCGGGGCGGGGGCGCGGGCCGGGCGGCGGGGCCGGGCGGGCGGGCGGGCGGGACAAAGCGGCGGCCGCGGTTCCGCTTCCGAGCGGGCGGCCGGGCCGGCGGGGGGCGTCGCGCCGGGGCCGGGCGGGCCGGGCGGGCCGGGCGGGCCGGGCCCGCGCTCCACGCCCCCGGGCGCCGCGGCTGCGGGCGGGCGGGCGGGCGGGACGGGGACGGGCGCCCCGACGGCGGCCGCCGCGAGCGGCCCCTGGGCCCCGGCGGCGGCGGCGGCGGCGGGTCTCGGCGGTCTCGGCGGCCGCGCGGCGCGGGCTCGGGAGGAAGCGCCAGGCCCGCGGAGGAAGCGCGGCCGCTCTCCCCGCCCGCCGCAGCGCGCATGCGCGGGCCCGGCCGGGCCGGGGGGCGGGGCGCGGGGCCGGGCGCGCCCCCTGCCGGGCGCCCGCGGCACTGCGGGGGTGTGTCCGGCCCGCGCCCTGCCCCGCGGGGGCCCGCCCGGCCGCCCGCGCCCACCCGCCCCGGGCAGCCTCGGGCCGGGCGCCGCGCGCGGGAGCAGAGGCGGGGGGCGCTGGGGGGGCCGGCGCCGCCCCCGCTCCTCCTGGGGGGGCGCCCCGCTGGCGGCCGTCCGGGCCTGCGTTCATCCGCGGGCCGCGCCGGGGCCGCCACGTGACGGCCGGCCCTGGGCTCCCCGGGCACCCGCGGGCGGGACGGCGCTCGGGGCAGGCTCCCCGCGTCCGCCCGGGGCCGGCGCGGGCAGCCCTGCAGCCCTCCGGCTCTCCCAGGCTCTTACGGAGCTTTACTTGTCGTGCAGCAGCCAGGGCCACGGCAGGCGGGGTGCCCGGGGGCCTCCAAGCCCCAGCAAGTCTTCACCCTGGGCTTCTCTGCCTTCTCTCCCCCTGCTCTCTCCTGCCGCTGCTTCTCTCAGGGACCATCTCCATACCCCCCATGGCCCTCAGCAGTGTAGACCATCTCCATACCGTCCATGGCCCCCAGCAGTAGACCATCTCCATACCCCCCATGGCCCCCCAGCAGTAGACAGCAACACAATGTAGCAACTGCAGGTGTCCCATCAGGCTGGCCATCCTAATGGTGGGAGGGCAGAAAAGCCTGAAAACCATTTCCAGGACCCTTTCATTATTTTTTTTTTATTTTTTAAAAATTTTTTTTAATAGAGGCATGCTTTTATTTATTTATTTGTTTGTTTGTTTTGTTTATACATGCACTGGGTACAGTCAGAGGCACGGGAGGGTGGGAGAATTCACCAGAGCCAGAGCGGGGAGCAGAGCAGGCAGAAGGACCGAAGTACACTGCTGAGGGGAGCAGCGGGCGGCAGGAGGGGACCCTCCTCCGGTGGCTGGGGAGCAGCCGGGGATCGAACCGGCGCCGCAGAGGCCGCGGGCAGCTTCACAACCCAGTGCTCAACCGCTGCGCCACCGGGGAGGCCCCCCTTTCATTATTGTCAAGAAGTTTTCAGTACAAGAACCAACAGGCTAACAGACAGTCAAGCTAATCCTGGAGCATACAGGGCCCACCAGAGCAGAGCAGAGGGCGCTCCCCGGCAGACTTCACAGAGCCGGGACCTGAGGCAGAGGGGGCAGTAAGGACAAATGCCAGGAGAGATGAGAGCCTGCTGGCTCTGGGGACTGTAAGTAGCCCAGGACGGCTGCAGTTTGCAGAGTGGGTTGAGGAGAATGGTAGGAGACAGGGAAGCTGTGAGCTGCTGGGACAAGAGAGATCCAGAGGGCCTCGTGAAACTTGGACTTTGTTTTCACCCTGGAGGTAATGACGAAGTTGTCAGTAGCTGTGTGATCTTGGGCAAGTTGCTTAACCTTTCTGTGCTTTAGTTTCCCATTTGGTAAAATAGGAAAAATAATTACACCGACTTCTAAGGGCTTTGTGGGGAGGAAATGAGCTAATTTGTTTTAAGTGCCTGGTGGGCTGGCACAATATCAGCCCTCAGCAATCACCTCATTGTTAATGAGGCGCGGGGATGTGATCTGCTCTGAGGTACAGGCACAGACATTGTGTAGAGGACACACACACAGAGTTGGGGGGCAGTACTTCGGGGGACCCCAGGGACTTTAGGAGGCAATAGGAAGGAAGGGTCAGAAGGAGACATTCTCTGGTGGGAGAAATTGAAATTCTCCAACCCCCTAATTGGAAAGGACCCCGTGGGAGAGTGAGCTAAGGAGATAAAAAGGTGTGGGTGCAGATTGTGAGGGGCCTCAGGTACCAGGAGCAGGAGTGCCTCTCCCAGCAAACCCCAAGTTGACCCTCTCTGATCCTTGGCCAGCTTGTCAGTAAGGGATGACCCTCTAAGGTGGGAAACAGTCACAAACCCTGCCCTTTGAAGAGACAGCCAGTAAGTCTCAGAGACAGCCGTAGTGTAATGGAAAAAAGCATGGATTCGGGGTTCACATCTCAAAGTGAAATCTCAGCCGGGCCACTTACTAGCTGTGTGACCTTGTGCTAGTTACTTAAGGTTTCAGACCTCAGTTTCCTTTTCTGTATGATCAGGCTCAGAATACGTCGGTCGCTCTCAGGAGAGGTGGTGCAGATTCAGCAAGATAACAGCTTGAAGGGAAGGGAAGCGGGGAGGGCACTCCGCTCGGTTGGTTTCCCTTTCTTTCCTGTGAGGTCAAGATGGAATGATAAAGTGGGGCCGGATGGGGCCACCTCACCCTAAAGGAAAGAGCTTCAGTAGCTCCAGAGAGGCTTCTGGAAAGGAGAAGCTGACATCTCGCTTCCCCTGGCCGAATCAGCTGGCACGATGGGAAAGGACTCTGAGGGTTTTGGAGGAAATGCTCTAATTCCTCTCCTAGTTTTGTCATCAGCCCATCTTCCATTACCCCAAACAGATTCAACTTCCCCCCTTGGGTTTGCATTGCCCCAGAGCGTGAACTTTGGAGTCCTGGCTTCTGCTTTTCAGAACAGGGTGAAATAAACGTGTTAACTTTCCTGAACTCCACAAATCAATGACGCACCCTGCCCCACAGAGCTACCCTCTCGTCCAAGAGCCAGTGAGCTTCCAGCCTCACTTTTCATTCCTCCACTCGCTCAGCAAGTACTTATTGAGCACCGTCCAAGTGCTGTGCACTGTTCTGGATGCTGGAGATGGAGGAATGAGCTAGAACACCATGGTTCTTGCCCAAGAGGATAAATAACCAAGGATTAACCAAGGAAAGTAACCAAGAGGATTAAACACATAATATGAAGTCACTGGTGCTTGATGGAGGAGAGAGCACTGGGGCGGACAGGCTCAGAGGATCAGCTACTTGAGGAATAGCCAGAGGCCAAGGGGACAAGGCCCGCAAGCCGAGAGAGTGGTATGAGAGGAAGGGGTCAGACCCTTTAGGGTGTGTGGGCCAGGGATTTGGTTGCATGGGTTTGGGTTTATTACATGAACAGTGCGGGGCCTTGGGGGATTTTAAGCAGGGGAGTGACATGATAGAGTGAAGGTCGAAAGACCAGACAGGAGGCCTTTGCAGCCAGTGATGATGGGTGGAGGCCCAGTGGAGACAAAGGAGAACTACGTGAAGCTCTTGGTGAGGGGCTGTTTGTAGGGTGAGGCTTCAGGAGAAAGCAGGCCTACTCCCAGGCATGGCTGGTGCAGGTGGAAAAATGGTGCTCTTGGCTGAGACAGGAGGGCCCCGGGGAGAGAGGCAGGATACTGCTAACACTCAAGAGTTGGATTTTGTTCAAACTGAGTTTAAGACACCCGAGAGACATGGAGATGTCAAGTCGGAGGCCCGTTTGTTTTACAGACAAGGCCACCGAGGTTGGAAACTAAAGAACTTCCCCAGGTTCCCACCCCCTCCCCCCCAACCACCACTTCCACCCCGGCCCCAGGACTGGATTTTGGGAGTAGGGACCTCCACAGCCTGGAGCACCAAATAGCCTGGGGACTCAGGAGACTCCAGGAAAGGAAATCTTAGAGAAGGAATCTTGGGTTTTAGGATTTGGGAGGAAGTTTAAGAGGCGCCCCCTCTTAGCTAGGTGGGCTCAAGGGCCAGCTTTCCCAGGCGGGGCGACTTGTCCCTGCACTGGGGATGGAGAAAAGAGAGGCTGGAGGCTGTGGATGTGAGCCTTCCTGCCTGCGTTGTGGGGATCTGCTCCAACTCGGCCAACTTGTTGCAGAGCTGACTTGGTGGTTGATCAGAAGTTCAGACTTTATGTGGACTGCGCTCTGCTCCCTGGGGACTGGGGTAGGGGGGTGTAGGGGCAGGGCAGGGAAGGACCTCTTCTTCCTCCAGGCCTCCTCCCCTCCCCCAGCCTGTCCGCTCTCAGATGACAGTTTAGAGAAGCTGGTGTGAAATAGCTTGAAACTCAGACTGTCTGGGCGGTCCCCCAGGGCACAAAACAGGAAGCCAAGATTAAAGGCAGATTTCCAGCAAAGTCCCCTTCTACTTCCTGCAGAGCAGGTGCTCAGCTGAGCTGTGAGCAGCCACTATGCAGGCAGGCAGGCAGGCTCCCCTTGCTTACAGCACCTCCTCCAGGCAGCCAGAGCAGCCAGCATGGGGTGCTGGCTGCATGGGGTGCTGTTCTTTGGCCTTGCTGTCATCATCCCCACTGGGGAGCTCCTGCCAGGCCATGAGGGGCCTGACCTCCTCCAGAGGCTGTGGAATAGAGAAGCAATGGTCACCTGGAAAGAGTCCTAGGGAGGCACTGGGAGGAAATAGCACCCGAGGACATCTGGGAGGCAGTGACACCAAGTGGAAAGGGTGTGGCCTTTGGGGTCGCTCAGGCCTGACATGAATGCCACTGCCCTCTGCAGAGTCTCACTGACCTGAGGGGGTGGGCCAAGGTGTCGAAGCAGTAGAAAGGTGGTCAGAGAGACCTAACCGATGCCAAGGACTGAGTTCCTAGGACAGGGCAGAAACCAGAAGAAAGCCTGGGGCACGGCATCTCAATGCCAAGGGCTGCTTGACTGGACGGCTGCAGCGAGGCACATCCAGCTCATAAGGATTCAAGGAGCCATGGGCCGGGACCAGCCTCCCCG